CTTTCTTTTATCCAGCATGTACATCGCGGGGGGGAGGGGGGCATTTTGCCCCCTCGCTATAAATATCTGTATTTTCTTCTTTTATCCAGCATGTACATACGGCGCGGGGGGGGGGTGTCTGTACCAGCCGCAGTATTAGGGCACGGAGGGGACCCCAAAATGTCCAGAGATGCCCCTGGGACGGGCACGAGGGAGCAGGGAACCAGGTCCGGGCGTGTCCCACAGGGCAGGGTGGCCGGTGACAGTGTACCCCGAGCGGGCACCGGGCAGACGCAGGCACCAAGGTGGCCCCAGAGGGGACAGGGATGTCCCTGAGGTGACACCAGCGTTGGCACCAAACCCTGGGGACAGGGACAGATCCTGCCAGTAAAGCCAACGGAGGTGGTGCCCGGCGGGGCGGTGGCTGGGGACATCTGGGGGTGTCCCCCGGCATCAGGGCATCCCGGCGGGGGGATCTGTGTATTCTTTGTATGAAAATAAATCTATTTAGCCAATATTTATACCCCGTCGCCGTGGTCTCGTCCCCCCCCTGCTCTGCCCACAACACCAATGTCCCTGGGGTGGGTGATGTCCCCAGGGTGGTGGCTCAGTGGTCCTGGACCCCTGAGCTCAGTGTGTCAACCTTGTCCCCGTGACATGTCCCAGCGGCGGTGGGGACACCCGAGCGGTGTGTGGTTTTGGGGCTGGGATGTGTGTGCTGTGGCAGGCAGGGCCACCCAGGGAGGGGACACGGGACACAAGCCATGGGACACAGGGCCGGGGGACACAGGGGTGGGGGGACACAGGGACAATGGACACAGCACTGTGGGGATGCAGGACACAGGGTCATGGGGACACACGGCCATTGGGACTGAGGACTCTGGGGACACAGGGCTATGGGGACACGGGGACACAGGGCCATGGGGACACGCAGCTATGGGGAAGCAGGGTCACAGGGCTCTGGGGACAGGGCTATGGGGACACACGGCTATGGGGACACAGGGCCATGGGGACATACAGCTATGGGGACGCAGGAACTATGGGGACACGGGGACACAGGGCCATGGGGACACGCAGCTATGGGGAAGCAGGGTCACAGGGCTATGGGAACAGGGCTATGGGGACACGGGGACACAGGGCCATGGGGACACGCAGCTATGGGGAAGCAGGGTCACAGGGCTATGGGAACAGGGCTATGGGGACACGGGGACACAGGGCCATGGGGACACGCAGCTATGGGGAAGCAGGGTCACAGGGCTCTGGGGACAGGGCTATGGGGACACACGGCTATGGGGACACAGGGCCATGGGGACATACAGCTATGGGGACGCAGGAACTATGGGGACACGGGGACACAGGGCCATGGGGACACGCAGCTGTGGGGACACAGAGCTATGGGCACACACAGCTACGGGGCCACGGGGACACAGGGCCACGGGGACACGCGACAGGGCTATGGGGACACGCGACATGGGGCCGTGGGGACACTGGGCCACGGAGACACACGGCTATGGGGAGGCAGGGACACAGGGCTCTGGGGACACAGGAGGACTAGGGGACGCAGGGCCCTGGGGACACGGGGACACAGGACACGGGACAGAGGAGACGGGGCCACGGGGGCACCGCGCACCGGCCGCAGCCCGGCCGCAGCCGGCGGAGACCCTCCCCCCCCAACAGGGGGCGGGGCGGTGCAGCCGCGAGACCCGCCCTCTCCCCGTCA